CATAACATACCATCATAACATTAACAGACCATCATAACATAACATAACATAACATCATAACATAACATTACCCTACACAACACAACACAACACATAACAACCAACACAACACAACACGTTATTGTGTGTTGGTGTTGGTTGATTGTTCCGACAGGGTGGTAAGATGATATATTTTGGAACGAATTGCCGTCATCCCTTGACAAGTTTGGTTAAGGGTTCGAATATAACATCCGCTTCGGTATTTGTTTGTTCGTTTATTATTTTGCCGTCGAAGGTTTTTAGTTTGTATATTTCCATATTTTCTAGTACGTTTAGTCGTTGGCCTTTATGTTGTACATGCAGTAGTTTCGCTGTCTTTCTTATTTGCGTTGGTGAACATTTGTTGTTAAACATGTGGTTAGCAAAAAACTAAAAAATATTAATTTACGAGAAAAGGAAAAATGGCAATGAACCAACAGGCATGGACACTCCGAATACACCACAAAGTACCACCAGGACAAAAATCACCGACTTTTACCTGCCTGCAGGCAAAAACTATACAGAGACAACATAACGGATGTTAATATCGAGACGGCGTAGATTCACTTATTACCTGCTTCTAAAATAAAAAAAAGGAAACCATGGCATTTCTAATAATTAATCATCGACAAAAATCACATTACCTAAGATAAATGAACATAAATTAAGGACAACAGACAGAACGAAAAATGACACTGAAGATGGCACAACGCCGAAACCGGTTTGTCTGCAAACCAAACTTGACAAGGGATGACGAAATTCGTTCCAAAATAAATCATAACACGTTATTCTTCAATTTTATCTTTTTCTCTTTTTTATCTCTATCTTTGTCGCTACCGTGTTTTTTATCTTTTCATTTTTATATTTATCACTTCCTTGACCTTAATTCAGATCTGCATTATTTTCTTTATCTAAATATTCACCCACACCTTTGCTATCATATTAAGTATTTAAATTTACCATCTTTATTTTAGATTTCTTTACTATTTATTTATTTTTTGCTGAATAAATTCTATAATGTATCATTCTAGATACTCTTAACAAATATCATAATAAATTACAATTCACGATTGAAATGGAAGTAAACTCTAAAATTCCTTATCTTGACGTCTGCATCCATAGAGAAAAACACAATCTTTAACTTGACTGGTACTCAAAACCTACTTCTTCTCGACGCTTGATTAACTACATTTCATCGCAACCAACAAAATACAAAATAAACACGGCAAAAAACCTGATACACAAAATATTGACAATAAGCTACGAAAAATTCCATGACGCTAATATAGAAAAAAATAACGAATATCCTAAGCAGCAACAACTACCCAACCCATTTAACACGCGAGCTAATAAACCAACAAATAACCAAAAACTGTAGCCAAAAACACATAAGAACAAATGCAGAAAAAAATACAACAAAGAATTTCTACAGTGTGACATATATCCCGAGACTAACAGAAAACTTTGATCACAGCATAACAAAATCACCAAACGCAACAGTCAAACTGCACTCTGTCAACAATATATACATAAACAAAGTGTCCTGTACGTGTCTACCAACAAAATAATGTTATAGTTATATGAGATTACTTGTAAAGGAAAGGAGAATGATGAATGTGGAAAAGTATATATTGGCACAACAAAACGGGCTTTGGGTGTTCGACTAGGCGAACATGAAGCCGACGTAAGGAAACAAAAGACCAGCACAGCACTAGCACAACACATTATATCAAGTGGACACTCCGCTGATTTTTCAAACGCGAAAATTATTGACCAGGAAAAGAGAGAAGCAACCAGATATACACTAGAGAGCCTGAGGATTATGGAGAAACGAGAAAAGACGATAAACAACAACTAAATTTTTAGCCAAAAAAAAAAACCGACTTAAAAAAAAAAATATATATATATCTATATATTTCANCAACTAAATTTTTAGCCAAAAAAAAAACCGACTTAAAAAAAAATATATATATATATCTATATATTTCATGATCCAATGACCGGATTTAAACCAAATTAGTATGGGACCACCTCTGTGACACTACCGTTGCAAAAAGAATTATTGAAATCGGTTGACGTCGTGCAAAGTTATACATAAAAAAAAAAAAAAAAAAAAAAAAAAAACCCCCCCCTTTTTTGGAAGTCGGTTAAAAAAAAAAAAAAAATATTCCGACGAACTGATAACCTCCTCCTTTTTTNTCCTCCTTTTTTGGAAGTCGGTTAAAAAGAAGATACAGACAACATAGCGGCCGCTTATATAGGTTTACTAAAATAACACTTTAGTATCGACAAAGCTACCATAATGTATGGATGGTGTTGATTTTCAGCGTATACATGTTTAGTAATGTTTTTTCTGTCTTTTTAATGTTGTGTTAGTCACAGAAATTTAAATATTTTTGTTATTAATTTCAAAATTTGTTTAAATATTCAAAACAATAGTGTGAGTTGGTTTGTACCTATATTTAAAATGTTTAATTGTCTTTATTTATATATTTTTCTTGCTTATGGTTATGTCATTGGTTTGTGACAGATATCCAATAAACGAATTGCCCCTGAAGATGCTAAAAAGTATTAGCGAAACGTTGGGCCAGAAAAATGGTATAACTTAGTTTTATTCGCATCTTTAAACTCAGATCAGACGAGCCTATTAGTATACAAATTAAAGAAATTATGTAATGATTAAAAATTGTAAAACAATCAACACATATTGCTTCTTCAACAGCATAGTTCTTTCTAAACTAATAGTAACCTTAAACATTATAAAACACCCTTTAATAGCACACATGAACTCGCTCTCCATATCAGAAAAAAAAAATTTCTGTATGAAAAGTTAACTTTGAGCTGTTGTACGCGGCAACTGTTAGTAGCAGGGACCGTAATCATTATGAGTTTTATCAAAAAAATTAACTTTTAATCATTATTTTGAGATTTTAATACTTGCAATCAATCATAATAATCAGATTTTGCGTTTTATTGTATTGCTCAGAAAATACAATCATTTATTGAGTTATATTTTTTTGATCAAAAATAAAACTAATTTTTCGAGCGTTATTTTTTTGCTCTGAAGTAATAATTATTTTGTTAGTTATTTTCTTTTTGATCAATAATAATCATTATATTATGAGTTTTATAGTTTTGATCAGAAATAATCATCATTTTTTGNCATATATCAGAAATAATGATCATTTTTTGAGTTTTATTTCTTTAATCAAAAATAATGATTATTTTTTGAGTTTTATTATTTTGATCGAAAATAAAACTCATTTCTTGAGCGTAATTTTTTCTCTCAGAAATAAAAATTAAGTTTTGAGTTTTATTTTTTTTGCAGATCTAAAAACTCAAAACGCCTCACTTCACCTAAACTCAACTCACCACACCACACCTTAACTCACCTCACCTCAACTCACCACACCTCAACTCACCTTAACTTACCTAAACTCATCTTAACGCAACTCGCCTCAACTCACCACACTTAACTCTTCTCATGGAACTCATACCACGGTTCCGCGGAAGCTAAGTTCGTGAAAGTCTTGACGAAACCCCACTCAACTTATTGTTAGTTATGTTAAGTTCGAAACATGCAACTGTTATCGCTGTTATTTGCTTGAACTTTCAGTTTAAGTTGCATCCATAGAATATAAAAATCCCCCAAAAATAATTGACTGGATTGCAGTTTTATAGTTGCCTCATAGATTGGATCCAATGTTGCAACCAATTCGTCCACATCTCTCCACTCAGCGATGTTTAGATTGAATTTATCTTCAATGTGCTCAGCGCAGAACTCTCTGAATTTTAGAAGGCTTT